GGCATCGAAGTCAAAGGGCCATCGCTGTGGCGATTGGGGTTGTCCGGCCTTCCGCCGGCCTCTTCTAAGCCTGCGACCAGAACGGCCTGTGGTGTCCTCACTCAGCTGTGGGGAGCAGGAGGACGTGGGCCACCCAGGGCTCCTCGGAGGCTTTTGCCAAGTGGGCTCCACCCAAACCCTCCGGTTTCAGTCAGACAGAAGGGAAGAAAGAGGCAAGGGAACCCCCGCCCCCTCCCCAGCTCTCTTGGCAGTGGTCCAATTCCATGCCTGCCGCTGTGGGGCTTCCCATGGATTGACGGGTGCTTCCTTCCGCCCCTCTGTGTGTGTGTGTTTGTGTGCGTGGAACACACCCTGGGCCAGCTGGAGCCCTCTGGGGCCTGCAAGGTGCCGTTGCTGGCCTCAAGCAGATGGTCGTCCTCTCGCAACTCTTCCTCCTCTCAGGGGTCTCCAGCTAGGAGCCAGCCGAGCCAAGCAGCCCCTGGGCCAGATGGCCATGGAGGCCCCTGCAGGACTGGGATGTCCGCCGTGGCAACGGTCTCCGGTGGGCCGGGTGCCGTTATTACCCTCCACCACATCTGTGGCCAAGGCTGCTCCTCCGCAGGGGGGAACCCGGGGCCTTTGGACAGGCGAAACGCTGCCCTGAGCGCCCATCGCCAAACCAGTGGCCACCAGTGCAGACCAGAGCGGTGTCTCCATGGAGCTTCTCCGTCCTGCCGATCACGGTGGTCCCAAGGGGGCTTTTTTCCAAACGGCAACTGGACTTTCTTGGGGTTTTTTCCCTTGAAAATATTTTGCTTCTCAAGCAAGAAGTGTCTTCAGAACTGAGGAAACCTCTCGGATGAGAAGCAAAACATTTTCACGGAAAAACAATCCGAAAAGTCCAGGCACCTTTTGGAAAAAAGCCCCCCTGGGATGACTCTTGCAGGGGCTCTTCCAGCGATTCATTGCCAGAGATGGGAGCGTGCAGGGAGAGCGGCTGGTCGCAAGGTTGCCAGGCCAGCCCCAGATTTCTCTTCCTGGAAAACGGGGCCAAACTCCCCGAGTGCCGTTAGAGGGTTTGGCCCCTTTGCCAAGAAGCGAATTAGCCTTCAGGAGGACTAGGAGCCCTGGGCAGGGCCCAAGCAGAGGTGACAGGAGACAGGGTGAAAGATTTAAAGCTTTTAATCAGAAACCATGAAATCCATTCCTTTATGAAGCTCCGGCATCCGCCCAGAAGCTGCCCCGAAGGGCCCCACCCCGCCTGCCAAAGGCTCAGCCCCGGCACCTCAGAGCTTGTACGTCTGCTGCTTCGAAGAGGAGGCTTGTGCCGAGCAGCCCCGCAGATGGACGCTGAGTGGGGGGCTGCAGAAGAAGTCGTCCGCCGCCAGGCTCTGCCAGATCTCGGGAGCAGAGAAGTCCTCCTCGCCCCCTGGGCCAGGTGGGGGCACCATCCCACAGAGGGAAGTGATGGAATACGCTCTCCGGGCAGGGCGCTCCGATCGGCCGCGCCTTTCCGCCACCGGTTCGTCGGTTGTCAGGGCCTCCAATCTCTGCTGGATTTCCATCAGCCCCTGGATCTCTTTGGGGCTCCAGCTTGCCAGGAGGACATCCGTGTTTTGGATCTGCTGCAAGAGTGCCAGAATCTGCTCCCGGGAGTTTCTGGATCCGGCCACGTACCTCTGGGCAGCTTTGCCCGCCACCTCTGAGCCAAGACCCTGATCGGTGGGGTGTCTGGGGGGGCTGCTCGCCATGCTCTGCACGAGATGCTTAATGATCTGGTGGAACAGGTTCTTCACGGCCGCTGAGGCCAGCTGGCCCGTCTCCCCTCGCAAGTTGCCGCTTTCCCCTCTGCTGTGGTCATTGCCAGCAGCCGTGCCCACGCTTTGGCCGCTAGACCTGGAGGGCCACAGTTTGGGGGAAGGCAGCTGCTGCTTGGCCCGCCCAGGCTTCTCACCCTGGTTGAAGGAGGGCTGGTGGCCCCCCAGGGCTCCTGACCAGACAGTGGGGGCAGGCCTCTTGGGCAGGGCCTTCTGCACCAGGCCCTGCACCTTGATCAGCACATCCTGCAAGGCCGTGTTGCCGTCGCCACTGGGGACGCTCCCGGGACACGGGTGAGCCTGGGGCGGGGACTTGATGATTTCCCGCACCGCCGCCGGGTTCCTGGCCAGCTCCAACAACAGCCTCATGCCTTCCGGAGAGCTGAAGACATGGCTGATCTCGGGGGCCCTCTGGATCACCTGCCGTATCTGGGGGCTCTTGGTGGCCATCTTCTTCATCAGATCGGGGCTGGAGAGTTTGCTCTGGATGAAGGGGTTCTCCAGAAGCTGCAGCATCAGGTCAGGGTTGGACATCAGCTGGCTCTGGAATTCCGCGAAGTTGGCCGTGTTGAGGCCCAGGCTGGCCGTCAGCTCCCGCAAACCATCACTGTCGAAAGTGCCATTCCTGGCAGGGGCTTTGGGGTCTGGGCCCAGGTCAGCTGGCAGGGTGGGCCCCTGCTGGGGCGGGCAGGCTTGTTGGGGCCGGACGACGACGTAGACGGCAGCATTGCTGTCCAGGTGGATCCCGTGCTGGGCAAGGGACTTGTGGTCTTTCAGGATCCTTCCAGTGTAGACCAGCACAATTTGGGAGGGAGAAGAGGACAGGTGTCGGGCTACATGCTCCTTGAATTCCCTCACCAGCATGTCCTTGTGGACCAAAAACTCCTCCTTCTGCCAGGGCGTCTTCACAATTATCCGGACAACTTGTGGCTCTTTGGTGGCCCTGAAGTCAACTCCTGGGATTACCTGGCTTTCCACCATAATGCCCCATAAGAGTTTCTCTCCTCTCTTCTGGGAAAAGAATGAAGGCCAAGTGGGTAGCAAGCAGGGACGAGAGATCTCCCTTGGCTGTGGCCGGGCAGAGTCAGAGCGTGCTGCTCATCCCAGCCCTTGGATGGCCCCTGCCTGGCTTCCTCACTCTGCCCACATGCAAGCTATGGGTCTCCTCTTCTACCTGCACCTCCCACCCGCCCACAGGTGCACCACGCCAACCTTCTGAGGTGGAACCCCTCGTCTGTGATGTCACTGAGGAGGCCACTGGCTGGACCTCAGCCCGGCCTTCTAGGCTGCTCGGGGGGGGTGTCTGTGGGCAGGGACCTCTCCCCGTGGGGGGCCAACCTAGGCAAGCCACAGGTCACGACCTCCTCCACCCCCAGGTGGAGTCCCAGCACAAAGTCCCTTGCCTCAGGAGACAACCCAGCAGTTGCACCTCCTGCACACACCTGGCGCTGGGCAGGAAATTGAGTGGAGCGGTCAGAAGCTCAATGCAGTGCACGACTATGGAAGAAGTTTCCCCTTAACTGTCAGCCGTCTGGGGGGCCCCCCTCCCTTCACTGGAGAGCCCCGCCGTTCACCCCCAATGTCCTCAAGCAGCAGCCTTGCTGACCTTGGAGTTACAAGCGGCGGTGCGGCAGCCAAACCCCTCGGCTCTCTCCAGCAAGGTGCCACCCAAGCTTAAAAGAGCCAACTTAGAAAAGGCCTACCTGGAATCCTGCACCCCGTTTTGGTCACCACATCACACAAAAGACGGTGAGGCTTTGGGGGAAAGTGCAGAGAAGAGCAACTAGGATGATCAAAGGCCTGGAGACTAAAACCTACCAGGAACGGTGGCAGGAATTGGGTCTGGCCAGCCTAGAGAAAAGAAGGACCGGGGGGGGGGGCATGACAGCCGTCTTCCAGTATCTGAGGGGCCGCCCCAAAGAAGAGAGGGGTGTCAAACTATCCTCCAAAGCACCAGAAGGCCAGACCAGAAACAATTGGCGGGAACTAATCAAGGAGAGAAGCAACCGAGAACTGACATTTTCTGACAGTGGGGACAATTAAGATAATTAAGCAAGTGGAACAACTTGCCTTCAGAGGTTGTGGGCGCTCCGTCACCGGAGGTTTCTAAGAAGAGACTGGACAGCCACTTGTTTCAAATGGAACAGGGTCTCCTATTTGAGCAGGGGGTTGGACTAGAAGACCTCCAAGGTCCCTTCCAAATGTATTCCAGTTTGATTGATCTAGATGACTGTATGATGATAAATGTATCTACGATGACTATGATCATGATTTATCACATACCTTTTAGGTACACTGAGAGCTTCTGCACCGAAGACAAATTCCTTGTGTGTCCAATCACACTTGGCCAATGAAGAATTCTCTCCTATTCTATTCTAGATGTGCTGGAGTCCAACACCCCTCCTCCCCCAATGTCCGGTTGGCAGGACCTCCAACCAGAAACAAGTTGATCCAGAAAGTTCTCTTCTCCTGGTCTCAAAGTTCTTTTCCACTTCTGGCTCAAAGGAGCCCGGTGGTGTGGTCCGGTGGTGGCCTGTGGAGCCAGCAGCAGATTCGGACAGTGGGAAGGAACATGGGCCAGTCCTGGAGTCTGGGGAGGGCTCGGACGAGGGATCTGCATCCGAAGCAGAGGTGGGGCCAGGGCCATTGGGGAGTTAGGTGCCGACTCCCCTCCAGAATCTGACAGCAGCGAGGCAGAGGAACAGCGGGAGCCTGTTCCCAGTGTGCGCTTGCACAGAGCTGCCAGAAGGCAAAAACAGTTAAGACAAAAGGGGTGACTCGGGAGTAAGGCTTGGAGGTGATTGGCCCCTCCCATAAGACATAAAGGAGGAGCAAAGGGACAGGAGCCTTTGCGGGAAGCAACTTTGTTCTGGTCGGTTTAAACTCTGAAGCTCTGTGTTGATTTTGTGCTCCGTTTGGCCTTGTGCAGCTAATTGGCAATTTAGTCATTGGGAGCATTTCAAGGGAGGTAAAGGTGGGTGCTTATCAGCCTTATCCCAAAGGACTCTGGCAGACTTCTGTTGGACTATTCATTGACTGTTTGTGAACGCATAGAATTCACAGCCATTGAAATAATAAAAAAATGGTTTGGGGGAACAGCGTGTGATGGTTCCTGATTCAGGAATCCCTGGTCAGAACGCCCGGTTGTCCTCCCTTCCTGGTCTTGGGTGACAGGACACAAGACTGGAAGCTGCCTGGCAAATGGGATTTAAATTCTCCCAACAGCCACCCAGGGACTCCTCCGCTTCAGCCCCCAAAGCTCTCGCGCCTCTGTGGAGGGCTTTCCTCCAGCCAGAGGCCTCCGTGCCAAACGTTGCCACGGGGGGAGTGCAGAGCCCACCGGGAAGCGCTGGACCTGCCCCAGCCCAGGGAGCAGCAGCTAGCACTCTCTGGGCCAGCCTGAGCCTCTGGGGGCCCCCATCCCAGCCCTCCCCCAGCCACTCCAAACATGGCGTGCCAAAGGCTTCCTCCCCCTTGGGACAGCTGAGCCTGGGAGGAGGGTCTGTGGAGGAATGTTCCTGAGCCAACGGACCCTCCCACGCTGCCCCTCCTGTTTGAGCGCACCTTCTCCAACACCCACAGGCCTAACAGGAGCTGGCGGGGGGGGTTGTTTGGAATATCCTTTTCTGGGTTGGCGGGAACTTCCACCTGGCACAGAGCTCAGGCAGAGGCCTCTTCAGGAGTTGCTTCACCCCCAGGGGGCCAAGAAGGGCCAGGCGGCATCTGAAGCAGGACAAGGGGACGCACGGGGGGGGGGAGGGAGCCATCCGGGCACAGAAGTTGGCCTGGGGCAAAAGAAGGGAGTCTCCGGCATTCCTCTGGTGGGCCCCCATTCACCTGGTCCCCCTTTGTGGTTCTGGGGTGTGTGTGTGTGTGTGTCTCCTCTGCCTTCTTGAGTGGGTCAGTCCAGCAGCCCCACTTCCACGCACAGCACCGCAAGACAAAACCCCCGTTGGCTGAGCAACGCAGGGCAGGAGACCCTCAGCCCCCTCCCCAAACGCTTTCAGGGGATCTACAGAAAGTACGAGCCAATGGGGGAGGGGGGGAGGGGCAAAAGGGCCCAGCCCATCCAAACCCTTTCCAGGGACACCTTCAAGGAGGAGAGCAGGCGGCGTAGCCATCCACCCTCACAAAGAAGCCCCAGTTGTGGACTAAGGCCGAAGAGCCCTGGATTGACAGGGTGGGGGGCCCCCTTTGTCCAGCGCTCTGGCTCTCAGAGAGGCCAACCGGAGAGATCCGGAGGGCCCACAAGCGGCAGAAGAGAAGGCAGCTGAGAGCTTTGCTGCCCAGCCTGTCAGCGGCCTGCAGTGCTCCTTGCATGCCAGGGAAGGGGCACCACGCCAGGGACGGACGGGCAAGGCGGGGGCCGCTTTAATAGATCTGTAGCCACACTGACCAAGAAACAAGGAGTTTTCCCCCTCCCTGGTGGGACAAGAGGCAGAAGAGCAGCCACATCACAAGGCTCCTCGCTTCCTCCGGCCTGGGAGTCCATCATCCCCTCCCCCTACGGAGGAGGCAGCTTTCGTCCTGCAGCCGCCTTCGCCCCAAGTCTTCCACCGGAGCTTGTTCAGACCTCAGAAGCAGGTCCTGCCCCCTGGAAGAGCATGTGGGAGACCCGCTCCCGGATCTGCTTCGTTCGGACCCCGTAGACAATGGGGTTGAGCATGGGTGGCACGATCACGTAGAGGTCAGCCAGCAAGATGTGGATCCAGCTGGGGATGTTGTGGCCGAAGCGGTGGGTGAGGAAGGAGAAGAAGGCCGGCATGTAGAACATGAGGATGACCGAGATGTGGGAGCCGCAGGTGCGCAGGGCCTTGCGCCGGGCCTCCTTGCAGGGCAGCTGGAAGACGGCCCGGAGGATCAGGGCGTAGGAGGCGGCGATCAGCACTACGTCCACGCCGGAGGAGAGCAGCGTAGTGGTGAAGCCGTACCAGATGTTGACGGTGATGTCCCCGCAGGCCAGGCGGGCGATGCCCATGTGCTCGCAGTAGGTGTGGGGCATGGTGCTGTGGCCGCAGTAGGGCAGCCTCTTCAGGAGGAAGATGGGGGGGAACATGATGGCCAGACCCCGGACGATGGCGGCGACGGCCACCTTCCCTATGGCGGAAGGCGTGAGAATGGCCAGGTAGCGCAGAGGGTCACAAACGGCCACGTAGCGGTCGAAGGCCATGGCCAGCAGGATGGTGGACTCCGCGATGAAGCTGAAGTGGGTGAAGAACATCTGGGCAATGCAGGCGTCGAAGGAGATCTTCCTGGACCCGAACCAGAAGATGGCCAGCATCTCCGGCACCGTGGAGGTGGAGAGCATGAGGTCGGCCACTGCCAGCATGGCCAGGAAGAGGAACATGGGCTGGTGGAGGCTGCGCTCTGTGGCGACGAGAAAGAGGAGAAAGGCATTTCCCGTCAGGGCCACCACGTACATCAGGCAGAAGGGGACCGAGATCCAGATGTGAGACGCCTCCATGCCCGGGATGCCCGTCAGGACGAAGGTTATGGGGTCAAAGCTGCTGTCATTAAAGGCGGCCATGGGGGGCAGCTTCGCCCAGTGGGATCCTGGCTCCTGGACAGAGAAGAGAAAGGGAGAAGCCTCAGCCCCCCTTGCAAAGCCCCAGGGGAAGAGGGTGGGGTGGCTTGGCTCGCTCGCTCTCCCGCAGGTGCTTCATTACCCCCTGGGAGCAGCCAGCAGCACTCCCGACTAGCCCGGATGGTGTGGCCCAGTTAGGGCAAGGGAACTAGCCAGCTCAGGCAGCCCCGAATGGTCTCCTTTATTGGCATCTCAAGGAGTTCTGGCCAAGAGGAGCCCCAGTCAGGACTGGTGAGGAGGAGGAGGAGGAGGAGGAGGAGGAAAGAGAGGGTGGGTGACCTCCTCGCGTGGTCTGGAGCAGAAGGAAGGAGCATCTCCAAGGCCTCCCCCTCTTCACTTGTGAGTTTTAGGCCCCCACCGGTGGGAGCATCCCCCCCCCCCTTCGGCTGAGGCCCTCCGCTGAACCCGGTGGACTCACCAAGGAGACGTCCGGCCCAGGAGCTGGCCTGCGCCCCCCTCTTTCCCCCCAGCCTCAGCCCCCCTCTTGCGCTGCTCTCTCCTACCTGGGCACAGCGCCTGGCTGGCTCCTTCAGCGCCCACCGGAGGACCCTGCTTGCTGGCCGGGGCTCCCGCTGGGGCTGCCTTTCCCGAGGCCTCCTGGCTGCCGCCTTCCTTCGTTCTCCTTCCCGGCAGCAACTGGGCGTCCGGCAGAGTTTCTCCGTTTTTGCTGCGGCCTTCTTGCGCCGGATTCCCCCTGCAGTCTCAGGACACGGTAGCAATGGTGGCTGCTGCTACTTCTCTACAAATGTCCAGTCTGCCCCTCCTGCTCTCTGCCCTTGCGAGGCAGCCAACCCAGAACCCACCTCAACCTGCTGAGAAGCAGCTGGCACCACGCAAGGTCCCAAGCGAGGGAAGCCCAACCTACCCGCTGGAAGGCAGAAAGGCTGAGCGGGCAGGAATTTCGCTCCGCAAGCTTCGGAAATGATTAACCGGGGAGTCATTAGGGGGTCGCCCCGGGCTGTTCAAGACCCATTTGGGAAACACGTCCAGGGACAGCCCCCCCGCCCCCCCTCCCGAATTAAGAATTAGGAGGCACCGCCAAAGTAAACCCCGCGGCTCCCGCTTTAAGGCGCGTCCTGGGCTTAGTTTAGGTGCAGGTTGTGGGAATGCAGCCTTAGCGCCTTCCCTGACCCGGGTAAGGGGGTCTCGGGGGCAGAGAGCCAAAGGCTGACCACCCACCGCCCGCGACGTCTCCCTGCTGCTAGAAACCAACACGGGACGTCAACCGACTCTGGATCCCCGCTGGAGGGTAGAGGGGGGCCTTCGACGGCAGCCAAACGCCCCTTTCCGCGCTCCTTCCCGCTCCAAGCCGCCGCCGCCGCCCCCTTCGTTTTTGCCCAGATTCCCGTCCAGGCGGCTGACAAGCCGTCCATTGACCGCGCAGCCGGCGGGGAAAGGGTCGCACTGACCCCTTGGCCGCGCCAACCCTCCGGCCGGGCTCAAGGCCCGAGTGCGGGGCCAGCCCGCCGTCTGCGCAAAGCTCCGGGGCCGCCCGGGGGTCTCAGCGGCTTCCAGCTGCGGCGCCGGACGCTGCGGAGGTTCCACCCCCAGCCGGGCAAAGGGAGCCCTCCCCGGGCCCGCTCCAGGGTCCAGGCTCCGATGCCGGAGAGCCGCCGCCCCTCGGGCGTGGCCAGGGGAGCTGCCTCCCCGATCCCGGGCGCCCGGTCGGCGGACAGGTGAGGCGGGCGGGTGGGGTCCTCGGCGGGGTCAGCTCACCGGTGGCTTCGAGGCGCCTCCGTGCCGAGTCCGCGCTCGGGGCAGCTCCTCGGGAAGGCTCCGGCCACCTCGGGAGGGGCGCCGCTATTATTGCCCGTCGCCTCCCCGCCTGGGAACCCAGCCCGCATCCGCCGAGCGCCCCCAGGGACCGTTAACCATTAACCGGGCTGCGCTGCTTCCCGGCTGCCTGACTAAGTTTTATGATATGCTAAAATATTGGCTCCGCTTCGTATCTGCAGAGCAGCTAACAAGGGGTTAAAAGGGAGGAAGGAAGAAAAGGCAACCCGGGCAAATGAAGACCTTTGGCACGTCTGAAGATGCTCAAGGGAGCTGAAATCGGGGGAAGAGCTCCTTGTGGCAAAGAGCCTCAGAAGCGAGTAGAAGAGGTCAAAAAGCAGAGCCAAGGAATCTGTGCTCTTAGGGAACTGGGCTCACAGAGCAGCTAAACTCTAAGCCAGGTTAATATCACACAACTCAACAGGGTTGCTTGACAGTGTGATAGGTGGCATATTAAAAATAATAATCAAAAAGTCGATTAATAAACTAACCTGGAATGTTCCAACCAAGAAACCATAAGACAATAGGATCCTTGGTGCCCTCTGAACTTGGTGGTTTTCTTGCAAATATTTTATTACCCAAACTATCATCAGCACTGATGATGTTCCCTAGTTGGGTCATGTAACGTCTGCAAGAAAACCACCCAGCTCAGAGAGCACCCAGGAGCCCTCAGTCCAACCCTGAGCTGCAAATATTCCCTTCTAAAAGGTGGAGGGTGCTGCCTGCACCAAATTTGTTGGCAAAAACGGAGAACCTGAGACATCAAGCAGGAGGAGGAGGAGGAGGAGGAGGAGGAGGAGGAGGAAGAAGAAGAAGAAGAAGAAGAAGAAGAAGAAGAAGAAGAAGAAGAAGAAGAAGAAGAAGAAGAAGAAGAAGAAGAAGAAGAAGATGTTGTTTATTTACCATCCATCTCACATCTGACTCTGAGTGACTGATGAAGATAGAAGCGTCACAGATACTCCACATTTCAGTCCAAGTGTCTTTAATGGGGCCTGGAAGACCCTCCGGAGGAGTCGTATGTAACAGGGGTGTTAAGGTATTGATTTAATAGCTGTCCAGCTGCTGTAAGGCTGATGCAACCAGGCTGAATCAGCATGGGTATTGCCACTTTGAGGATGGGTCCACAGGGTTTTACCACTTTAAGGGGCTGTCTATATAAAAGCGGCCATGTGAGGGCATAGCTCTCTCTCCTTGTGTTCTGTCTCCATTGTGGTTCTCCAGTGCAGAGTAAAGAAGATTGATTGATTGCCAGGTATTTGCCTACCACATCTATGTATGTATATAGCAGCCTTGTATATAAACCACTGTTAGAAGACAAAGCCTGGGTTGTCTCACAATAGCAGTCATGCTGCAAACACTCTGACATCCAAAACTCTGTCGACTCCATAAGTGAAGAGAGGCAGGATCAAGCCTTCCAGATGTTGAGCAGGACAACTTCATAAGCAAACCTGGTGGCAGCTCTGTGATCATGGATGGGGAGAAACGAGGTCACAGAAGAAGGAGAAGGAGAGGCCATTAGGCATCCTCTTCCAATGACTCCTTGCTTTGCTCTCCGTGAAGGTGTCACAGTGCAGCGACTGAAGGCCACGCCCAGCTCAGCTACAAAACCAAGACTGAAGCTTTGGCCCCTTTTTTAAAACAAGTTTTATTAATTTTCAAAACACACAAGTCATCATTATCCATTACATGTTTAAACCTTTTTCCATTATAAATTTAACAAGTCAGATAAACTATAATTCTGTTTTAAACCATTTCCATATAAACATACAAAAACCTCTTATCCAATTTCCCTTTATTTCTCTTTACTCTTATTCAATTTTATTATTATTATTTCATCTATTTCTTTCTGACTTAGTTACCATTATTCTCATTCTAAATTTCTACAAGGTTTTATTAATTCTCCCCCAAAAAAAACAACATATACACACAACACACAAAACATAAAAAAGATCTTTTTGGAAAGTAACTTGGACCCAGGTATCTCTCTTTTCATGGACTTCAATTATATTCATGCTCATCTTACATATCATTACTTATTTTATTTACCATTCTAAGTCTTCTATATTAACTTCTCCACATTTTTCACTCTTCTTAATTCTATCTTAATTAATCATCTTAATTTGAGTCATTATATTTATATCTTTTGTCCATTCTCTATTGTACCTTTGTCTCATTCCTTTTAAAAAGAAAGAAATTTCTCCTGAAATCACTAATCAGAGTATGATGCCTTTCTATCTCCCCACTAAATTAATCAAATTAATCTTTAAAATACCCAATTCGATTTTGCTTGGTACATTCTAACTGAATAATACATCTAAAACAATTAAATACATAGTTAAACAATAGATTTAAATATTAAAAATATTAAAAACAAAATACTATAATGAAAGTTTTATAATAACATCAATACCATAATCTTAATAAACTCTTTAATTAAAGTTTAATATTCTAAATCTCCCCTCATATTATATTTTCAAACCAATCATTATTAACATTCCAACATTTTAATCTCTTATCAACTCTCAAGCCATTTAAATTTTCTATTTCTAATACAATACTACAATATCATCTTATGTACCTTGCAAAATCTCTTTGAAGAAATTATACTTATCCTTTATCCCTAAAAAAAATTTCTTTTTTCTCATTTAATTTCAAAACTTTGTAGTTTTTCTCCACTTTTTCCCTTTCTTTCTTCCCCCAACAAACCTTTCTAGCCCCCCTTCTTCTAGCCTCTGCCTTACTGGCTTCCCTTCTCTGTCGTATTCCTCTTCCCTTTTGTTTACCATCCTTATATTGATTTTGCACCTTGTTTTTCCCTTTCTTAAATGTTTTTTTAAATCTTAAGTCCTTTATTTCTCTTCTTTTTCCTCTTCCTTCCCTCTTGGTCGAGTTCTGAGATTTATTAAAGATGGCTTCCTCTCTTTGTTCTTCTTCTGCTGTCTTCATCTGTTGCAATGTTTGTTGATAGTTAATAAGCGCCATTTCTAAAAAAAGGAAGGCTTCTTTCAAACCAGCTTTACCATTTTGTTTTGCTTGCTCATAATCTTTTCTCAGTTCCTCAATAGAAGAAGCCATTATAAATCTTTTCTTTTCTTTTCTCTTACAACAGCCAGAATATTCCAAAGGAAAAATTCCGGTTTGTCGGCTTCGCGAGCGGCAGGGATTTGCGAAGC